TGCTAAGTACAAATATAGAAGGTTTAACAGGGCTGGAGTCAGTTTCATTTGTAGCCCCTTTGGTAAATTACGTGGAATTCAGTTCACAATCAATCTGCCCAATGTTTAACACATTTTTAGAGTAATTCATTAATTTGCAGAAGGATGAGCGAATGGTTGCATTCTACAAGAGATGGTTTATTTCATTTAACTTTGCTTAAAAAAACACAAACATAAGTCCCCCAAGCTAGGTGCAGTTCTACAGGAAAACAATACCTCTCCTCAAACAAAGATGGAAAGCATTCCATTTCAATCTTCAGTGTCTAATTGATGGTCAACACTTAGCATCCAGATGCTACATGCTTGCATGCTTCTTATGGGATGTCAGCAAGGTGTTTATTTGGCTTTTCTTCACTTACTTCATCACTACTACGCAACTCGCTTCCCCTCTTTACTTCAGTTAACACATGGTGGCATAGTCCTCATAGAAAACTAAATCTATAAAATGACACAGGTTCTAAAAAAAATCACTTCAGGGCCCCATCCTGCCCAAAGACTATCTTTCCCCCTCTTCTCAACATCTTTCTCTATAGTTATTCTTGAAAGAATTTTCTACATTTCTGTATAAAAATTACCTAAAACAGCAGATTTTCACATAAGTCTTCAAAGTAGATATAGAGAACCCTATTAAACAAATGAGACAAAATATTATACTTTGTCAACTATTTACTGAGGAAAATTGTCCAATATTATATCTGTGAGTTGCAAAAGTATGTGAGCCTTTGCTTTCAGTATCTATTGTGGCCCCCATATGCAACAATAACTCCAATACGTTTCTGGTAACTGTTGAACAGTACTGCACATCTTGGAGTAATTTTAGCCCATTCCACAGTACAGAACTCTGGGATGTTGGTGGGTTTCCTCTATTTAGTGCTTGTTTCAGGTTCTTCCACAACATTTCTATTGGATTAAGGTCCGGACTTTGACTTGGCCATTCCAAAACATTTATTTTATTCTTCTTTAACCATTCTTTGGTAGAATGACTTGTGCTCTTAGAGTTATTTTCTTGCTGCATGATCCAATTTCTCTTGAAAGTCAGTTCATGGACAGATATCATGACATTTTCCTTTAGAATTTTCTTGTATATTCAGACATCTTTTGTCTATCAATGATGGCAAGCCGTCCTGACCCAGATGCAGCAAAACAGGTCGAAACCATGATATTATCACCACCATGTTTCACAGATGGGATAAGGTTCTTATGCTGGAATGCAGTATTTTTCTTTCTCCAAACATAACGCTTCTCATTTAAACCAAAAAGTTCTATTTTGGTCTCATCCATCCACAAAAAGTTTTACAATAGCCCTCTGGCTTGACCATGTGATATTTAGCAAAGTGCAGACAGGCAGCAATGTATTTATTTATTTTTTATTTTTTTGGATAGCAGTGGCATTCTCCTTGCAACCCTGCCATGCACACTATTGTTGTTCAGTGGTCTAAATAATGGTGGACTAATTAACATTAGACATTGCAAGATTGGCCTTTACTGGCTTAGAAGCTACCCTTTGTGACCTCATGGACTATTACACGTCTTGCTCTTTTGATCTTTTTACATAATCTGTCTGACTGTGGATTAGTGGAGTCCAAACTTTTCCAGCCTGATGAGCAAAAATGACTTTTTCTGAGGTCCTCAGAAATCTCATTTATTCACTTGACATATGATACACTTCCACAAACATGGGTTGTGAAGATCAGATTTTGATAGATACCCTTCTTTAAATAAAAGAGTGTGCTCACTCACATCTGATTGTCATCCCACTGATTGAAAACACCTGAATCTAAACTCACCTTCAAATTAACTGCTAAACCTTGAGGTTCACATACTTTTGCCAGTCAAAGATATGTAATATTGGATCATTTTCCTTAATAAATAAATGACCAAGTATAATATTTTTGTCTCATTTGTTTAATTAGGTTCTCTTGGTCAACTTTTAGGACTTGTGAGAAAATCTGATGATGTTTTAGGTCACATTTATGCAGATATATAGAAAATTCTAAAGAGTTCACAAACTTTCAAGCACCATTGTAATTGACATGGCTTCATAGTGATAGATGAATGTTTTCCGTATACATCATCCTCATGACAGCTGTAGTATTTGCCATGACCCATGGAAAAATGCGTAATGTTATAATTACATCCAGCCTCACTCTAGATTAGGTAATAGCCTGTGTGAAGACAGACCTGAAATGTCTAAATCAGTATTGTTATTTCCTACCAGCATTGATTTCTGTCCTTCTGAGACTGGCTTGCAGACTCAAGGAACTAAAGAGAAAACAATGTGGTCTTTATAGATAGTTGGACTACTTCTCCAGGCAAGTCTGGTCTTTTAGGGTGGGGCGGCATCCATCCCACTGGGGAAAGTGCTGCTCTCATTTGTTGTAACATAGCTTATAGTCTTATGACAGGCCTAGTTAATCGGTGACAATCCAGAGCCAGGGCCAGGCATCAGACAAAACCAACCCTCTGTTAGTTGCCTTGAGGCATCACCCTGGTTCCACCACACTGAGACTGTGTCTGTTCTTCAAGCTGCACATAAGCAAAAATACAGAAAATCTCAAAGTTTCTTCTAGAAATCTAATTAACATAAAATTAGATCATAAGAAATGCACAACGAACACTTTTGATCTGAATTTAGAATTGCTCAACATTAGACCCCTTATGTCTAAAGTGCTTAGTTTCAAATGAAACTGTAACTGATCCCTGATTTAATGTAGTTTGTTTAATAGAAACTTGGATTAAACAAATGAGTATATAGCTTTAAATGAGTCTAGCCCTCTTGTATATATTATATAGTATAGTCTTGTATATAGTTTCTGTATGTACGCCACTGTTGTCTATTTCACCAAGGAGGAGGCATCACAATTATAATACTACTCTAGGCATTACTCAGAAATCTTGATATGAATATAATCTCCCAGATTTATTGCATTTATTCTTTTAGTCTTTTTACCCTAGAGATCCTGATGCAGTGACTACGAGTTTAAAAACATTTCAAACAAAATAATGTTACTCTAAAAATCATTAGTGTTTGACACTCAGACACAGACTCTGTAGGTCGTAAAGCTATTTGTTTAGTCCAGCATTTTGGTAAAGGTACAATACACTGGCATAGAGAGATTTTAACCGGTAAAAACGCTGTCACCCTCCTACTTTCACACATTCACTCAGGTTTGTTGAATGAGGTGTGGAAGGATGCGTTCTGTCCCAGGGTGCTCTGTGTTACCTTTGGGCTCTACCTTTTAGTTATGCTGTCATACATAGAGTCCCTGGCTGCACAATGATCACAATAAGTAAATCTGAAAGGTATGTAAACCATTTTAAATTATTGTAAGATAAGAGCATACCTGATAATTTGTTCTCTTTCTGTTATGGTGTATGTGTACTCCTGCTGCCTGATTCTGACAAACCTCTACTACTATGTGTCCTCTCACCATCCATAACTGCCCGATTCATTCTGATGCTGTATTTTTGCTTGGTGCTTTCCATGCTTATGACTTACCTTCTGTTGCTGTGTATGGCCCCAGATGGATACGCTAATGATCCCAAGACTCACCCTGTCCGCAGTAGATAATTTTACTGCAGTACTGTAGATTGTATCTTTTAAGCACTGTTGCTGTAATCATAAAGACTGTCATGTGCTCATCTAGATTTTCATCTGGCATCTACAGGCTGTCGTAAAAGTCTCCATACATAGAGGAAATTTACAAAATGTCTTCACAAATTTTTCTTTCGTTTATATATATATATATATATATATATATATATATATATATATATATATATATAAAAAACAAATATATATATACAAACTATATATATATAAACAAACTCACCTGGCTACAGGATAATTGAGTATTATTAAGTATAGAATTATTAAGTATATATGTCAAATATGCCACATTATAAACAAATAGGTCAACATGGTATCTCCTTTATTTATACACAGCTAAAGTTGTATTTTTTATATATATATATATATATATATATATATATATATATATATATATATATATATATATATATATATATATATATATATGTGTGTGTGTGTGTGTGTGTGTGTGTGTGTATAGACTTTGAAGTAAATTACTCAAACAAGTCACATATTTAAGATGAAAACATCAGATTTTGATCAAAGGAATTGATTAAAATATTTTTTTTTAAATGTATAAATAACATCCTCTGAGTAACCAACTTACAATCCCAGTGGGCATTACAAACAATTAAGGCAAAGCTAACGAAGATAGCAGTGCATTTATTGTCATGTAATCTGGACAGATGTAGCACATTTTTGCTTTTTCAGTAATGGTTTCATTGATCAATATATAGAACAATGTGTTTCAATTATCCTATATTGCAATTTGTTTGTATACTAAAATTCTACTAAAATTCTCACAAAATAGACAATTTAATTAAATTCAGATGACATTTATTAAAATCACTTACATATTTGACATGTAAGAATTGGAGTAGACATGTAAGTATCTGGGAAGATAAGAGTCCCACTCCCATCCATTTGAAAAGCAATAAAAGAGCAAAAAGAGTGTTGGTTAATTAGCTACAAAATATGAACAATGCTTTTGGGCTTCAACTGAGAAATTGTGTTACGGAATCCTAAACTGTGTAATTTTGGAAATGTGACCTCGATTCTCCTAATGAACAAAAGGTTCCTGTAGCTTCACCAGGAAAATCTACATGACTTGCAAATATTTATTTTTCTACATTTAGCACCAATTATTTTGCCCAACCTAATTATGGCAACCAACATTATAGAGATACTGGACAGCATTAAAACCTACTGAAACCCCCATTCGCTATTTTTATCACGTTAAACTTGGGAAGAACTTTTGGCCTCGATTACTGAGCTAGCTAAGTTCTGCCACTGAATGACTGTACTGGTTAACTAGCATCAACATTCACAGAATTCTCTGTATTACATCATAGTGAATAGCTGTAATGGGGTGGCTGTGGCTCAGGTGGTAGAGCAGTTTGTCCACTAATCATAGGACTGGTGGTTCGATTCCCAGCCCACATGACTCCACCTACCAAAATGACCTTGGGCAAGACACGTAACCCCAAGGTGCTCCTGATGGCAAGTTAGCACCTTGCATGGCAGCTCTGCCACCATTGATGTGTGTGTGAATGCATGAATGAGACACAGTGAAAAGCACTTTGGATAAAAGCACTAAAACATAATAATAATAAATAATAAATAAATACATTTTAAAAATGGGGGGCGCACAGTGGCTTAGTGGTTAGCATGTTCGCCTCACACCTCCAGGGTCGGGGGTTTGATTCCCACCGTGGCCCTGTGTGCGCGGAGTTTGCATGTTCTCCCTGCACTGCAGGGGTTTCCTCCGGGTATTCCAGTTTCCTCCACCAGTCCAAAGACATGCATGATAGGCTGATTGGTATGTCTAAATTGTCCATAGTGTATGAATGGGTGAGTAAGTGTGTATGTCATTGTGCCCTGCGATGGACCCAGCCTGTCCAGGGTGTACCCCGCCTTGTGCCCGATGCTCCCTGGGATAGGCTCCAGGTTCCCTGTGACCCTGAAAAGGAGTAAGCAGTAGAAGATGGATGGTTGAGTTACTGTTTTAAATTTTTTTTAAGTTTAATTTTTATTGAACATTTCTACATAACAATTCTAAGGAAACATTTCTACATTTCTACAGAACATTTCTACATTTCTACTGAACGTTTCCTTTTTATTGAATATTTTTGCTGACCTTCTGATGAAACATTTCTGCTAACATTTCTAATAACCTTTCTGCTAAACATTTCTGTTGAACATTTCTGCTAAGCCTATCTAAATCGCCTTTTCTGTTCTGTCATCCCCACCCTTTCACAAAAATAAAAACAAATTGAGCAACAGCAGTAAATATTCACAGGTTTTTTTCTTTTTATAAAAAGGAAAACAAAATTTAACCCACAACCCACCCCTCCGGCTCATCATGGCTACCCATTAACTGTCGCTGGTTATAAAGATATTATAAAATTCAACAACAGGCACCAACCCTTAAGTGGGTAGTGTCTGTAACTCCTTAAAGTATGCAATAAAGGGATGCCATTTATGAAAAAAAACTTATCTGTACAATTAATACATTTTTGAGAGCTCCCTGCCTGAATATCACAAACTCAGCCAGGCATTTTCAGCAGCATTTACACTATTTTACTAAATAGTGATGAACACTAACTTACCGGTGGTCATTTGGTTTCCTCAAATCCTGCTACCTCCATCTGGGTTGCATACATAGGAGTTGATCTGATCCATCGGGGTGGAGAGGGGTGCATTGATTCAACTGTCAGTGAAAATGACCCAGACAAAAACCCAATGGTGTGGTTATACAAAACTACCCCAAAACTACCCAAAACTGAGAAAATAACCCAATTAAAACCCAAAAGGCTCAACTCAACTTTTGGGTAGAAAAATAATCGAACATTTTTTAGAGTGTGGTATTGGAAGAAGAAGAAGGACAAGGAGGAGGAGACTCTCACTATTCAATTTTATTCCTGCAATTTTGTTGCCATATTGTTGCTATATTGAGAGCAAGCAGGCATATAATTGTGGGAAGCTGAGTGCATATGACACATGAAAATTGGGCTTTTGTGAAAAGGCGATGATGATTGATAGGGTGCAGGGGTGCCCTACAGAGACCATTTCACTAACAATGAGAGACAGAGAGGCTGAAAGAGACAGTTGCAGAACAGGCAATAAGGGACCATGGTAAATGAAAAATGGGCTGTGCTGCTAATATCCCAGCAACTAATGGCCCCCATGAGGATAGAGTTAAAATCCTATAAAATAAAGTTCACTAACACATAAAGCCCTAATAAGTATCCCGTTCAGCATTTTACAGGACTTGGAATCTTTATGAGAACTGGGCATAACCATGCATAGCCAGCTCCGGATTCACATGAAGATGCTCTGGGCATTTTCACATCTGTCAACATGAATATTACAAAGCTGCACAAAAACAATACAAAAACAGGAAAACATGTGTCAAGTAGACATATTTACAGTAATGAAAATTATCCAAATCTCAGAGAGTACTGCCAATTGATTGTTTCCATATTATGGATTCTATGTATTCCTACAATATTGAATATACAGTATGTACATCAAAATTATTTAAAAAAAAAAAAGATTGTGTAAAATTTAAGTGTATGTGAATATACGGTTTGTACACTGTTTGCTTACATTTTAAATTGCTGAATACAGTATAAAATATATTCAAATTGGGAACCTCTATATGACTGTATACTATAATGATTTATAATCCCACTCTCCTGTGTCACCAAGAAGAACTTTTCAGTCTAGTCCAACTCAAGGTTTCTTACTGATGATGTCTCAGTCAGATGTTTTCCCATGTCTGTTTTCCTCATCTATATCTAAATCTTCCTCCAGATATCTATAAGGTTGCTTTATGGCAATATCTATTGTTAAAGGAAAAAAAAAACAATCCAATCCAAATAAAGGTAAATTGAATTAAATTAAATTAATTGCTGACTCTTCAGAACTAAAACACAATACTAATCCGTTTAAACATTATGCATCACCATGACATTTCTGTAAATAATAAACATCATCAAATTAAAAAAGATACAAACAAACCAACCAAAAAACCCGCAAAAAACAACAAAAAAAAAAACAAAAATGAGATAAGCAGATTTTCACCCTACTGTCGTCATTACCTTAGACAATAAATTACTATATGTATACTGGGGGCAGAAAGTCATTACTAACAGGAATGCAACTGGGAGGTGTGGGTAATGATAAATCAAAGCTGGGAATATGAAACTCATGGTAGCAAATGCAACATCGTGGTTTTACACTTTCAAAGAATCTTAGTTCTTACATTCAAGTAAGACCACTTTTTTTTAAAACAAATAAACACACATGCACCCACCTGCTTCTTATAAAACTCACCAAGGTAAATTGTGCCACTTAAGCTCAGTTTAGATCAAAGTATCATGTAACCTACAATTAAGGACAAATCTATTGTAACACTGCATAACAAGGTACTGATGACCTGCTGTCTGTATTGTCCCAGAGGGAATTGGTGTCTTACATCAGCAAAATAGCTAGCAAACCATTCTAATCAGGAACAGTCCTCAGTTCAACTTTGACCCCGTTTACTGGTGCGGCAACATGCAAAGTATGTCCACTTGGTCTGGCGCATTTAATAAGGCATCTTAACAAATTGACATGAAGTGCCTGCTCCGAAGAGGAAGGGGGGAGGAAATTGGCTACAGGGGCCTGCTTTCTGTTGGCTGTAAATGATTCCGATTGGGCGGGGTGTGGGGGTGGGAGAATGGGTGGAGATAAAGAACAATGTGTCACAAATTAGACTTGGAAATCAGGAGCCATGGACCCTGTTCTTCATCTTAGTCCACACACACACACACACACACACACACACACGTGTGGGTGTGTGTGTGTGTGTGTGTGTCTATACATGAAGACACACACACACACACACACACACACACACACACACACAATCACGGTCACAGATTGGTGGGTAAGCAAAGGGTGGTGGGGGTGGGGAAGTGAAATGTAAACGAGCATAACTGCAGCAACAACAGCATCTTACTTCTTTTAATAGGACTCCAGTGGATAACATGATGTAAGAAAAGTTCATTCATTTTCAGTGCTGTATCATAGTTAAGATAGTGGTAGATCCGTAGTCTATCCGAGGAACACAGGTTGTGAGGCAGGAATATACCATGGATGGCATGCCTGTGCATCACAAGGCACCATGCACACACACATTCACACCTAGGGGCAATTTAGCGTAGCCAATCAACCTACTGAAAAATGTTTGAGAGGCAGGAGGAAACCAGATAACCTGTTGGAAACCCACATGGACACAGGAAAAACTCCACACAGACAGGAACTGTGGAGCCTGGAGCTGTGAGATGGGGATGCCAGAGTGCCATTCTAGAAACTTTTGATAGTTAGATAGATATGATAGTTACTGTATATTGCCACCAAAAGTGCACAGTTGGTATACACTCCAGCCTGGCTAAATCCTTTCCCTGTCTAGAGAGAGAGCACAAGAGTGAGAGAGCAACAGAGTAAGAGAGCGCACATTGTAAGTCTTTCTGAGGAAACTAGTAGTATGACATACTTCTACTTTTGTATTTCCTTCTTTAATGTCAGCACTTGCTGCTGTCTGCCAACCCTGGTCCAGTCTGACCCCACAGCACTGACACGTCAATAACTCTTCATCAAAACAACAATGACACCAAATACCTTGTAAGCTGAGCTGTCATTATTGTCATGTGGTATTCATTTAACATCATTGTACTCTTCATAGTCAATTCCACACAGGTCAAGACATACTGGAAATAGATGCGTAGACAACTATGAAAGGCTGATCAGTTGCTTTGCTTTATGGGAACATGTCCAATGCCTATGCAGTTTTGCATGGTTAATATGTTTGAATATAGATTCTAAAAGAAACACTTAAATTAAGATTTATAACATAACTAATGATGAGCTATGAGCTAGCAAAACTAGCAGTAATTAGCCACAAAAGCACTGCTTGGATGTACATTTCCTTCCAAAGTGCTCGTAGTTAGCCAGTTGCACTTCTTCACATTGAGACCAAGATAGTGATTTGTGTACGAGTTTGGTACAGTTATTGGCTCAGGGCATGTAGATTCACATTGTGTCAGCGGGGACTCAAAAGAAGATCTCATTGTCTCTAATTTAATTCACTGATGATAGGCTGCTGGGAAAGGTGTTGAAGAAATGACTCAGGGCATCTGCAACAGGATGCTTTAGATTAAGTGTCTGTATGCTTGGCTGCTACTTATCTAAAATATCTTCTAGAAAACCTCAGATAAACACTATGTAAAGCAGAGAATGAGAATTTTTTTTACAGTGGTGTTCAAAACTCATATGGATATAAAGGTAGATCACAGCTTATGGCAAATTGACATTGCGTATCACTTGCTGTTGTACATATAGGAGGTTTTCCATCTTTGTGATCAAGTATGTTATATCATAATTGGATCATTCACA